TGTTGAATAAATAAACATTTGAGGTTTCAAATGTTTAGAGGATGATATTGCTATCTATCTATCTTTAAAATGAAAAGTATATGTAAGCTTAATTTTTAAGGTCACATACAAAAATCTTCTTCCAAGTGTCTTATCTTGAATTGAAATTTGACTTGATCGTGATTATATTTTTAATGAAAAAGAGTCAAAATTGCTCTTGAACTATGCAAAATAGACAACTTATACCCATCGTTACATTTTGGAATAAAAATCCCCCCGTCGTCATCTTAAGAGACCACAAATAACCTCAAGAGTTAACACCCCAATTTTTTAGTGACGTGGCAAGCCAAGTGGGACTAAACCCTCCACCTAATCGTTGCCAACTAGGATTCACTACAAAAGAACTAGATCTTTAGCAGCGACACAAATCGCCACAAAAGTATATCGTCACTAAAGGTTTTAACTGATTTTTAACATTGAATTCTAATTTTGTGTTTCTTCATTGTTTTTAAAAAATCACAAATTATATCAATCAAGGAGGAGTTCGAAGACACTATATGTTTTATTTTTATGTCATATGTAAATGCATAAAATGTACAATGATGCATTATATAGTAGGAGATTTGAATCTAGAAGTAATTTTGATGATTTTCGTAATAATATTGGATGTTTTTAATATTGATGTGCATGTTATTTATTTTAGAAAATTAGGTTGCAACCGAAAATTATCATATTTTTTGTTGAAAAAATATGTTATACTAGGGAATGGTTGTTGCAGCCTTAGTCGCCACGAAAAATCATTCATAACCTTTAGTGGCAATATTTTGAGATTTTATCGCGACTTTTATCGCCAACTTGGGTGGAGGGATTCGTCCGATGTGGCTTGCCACGTCACCAAAAAGTTGGGTAGTTAACTCTTGAGGGTATTTGTGGTCTCTTGGGATAATGGCGAGGGTATTTTTTATCCCAAAATGTAATGGAGGGTATAGGTGGTTATTTTGCATAGTTCAAGGGTATATTTTATCCCAAAATGTAATGGAGGGTATATGTGGTCTATTTCGCATAGTTCAGGGGTATTTTTGACCATTTTCCGTATTTTTAAAAAGGTATAATACATAAATATGCCCTTTTATTTGACATTATTTCACATTTATGCCCTCCAATTTTGGGTGTGCACAAGTAGACACTTAACTTGTATAAAGTTGAACAAGTAGACACGTGAGTCCTACGTAGTGTAATATATGTAGGAGATCATGTAGGATGTCACGTAGGATGCGTGTGTCTATTTATTCAACTCTATATAAGTTTAAGTGTCTACTTGTGCACATTCAAAGTTGGAGGACATAAATATAAGCTCAGACCAAGTTAAAAGGCATATTTATGTATTATGCCTTTACAAAAAAGATAATTTTATGAGTCCATTCATGTTTTTTATAACCGTGCGAAGCGCGGCCAAGTTCACTAGTTAATTTATAAAGTCCAACCTTAAGGTTGTGAGTTCAAGTCACCAAGAGAGCAAAAAAGGTAGGAGCTCCTAGTGGGAGGGGGAAAAAAGGCCAGATTAATTAATCAACCCAAATGAACATGAATTAAATTCAAAAATTTCTATGAATTTAACACAATAAAATTTAGCAAAAACTACATAATTAGACATACTTCACTACTATATATACTATTATTACTTATACTTTCAAAATATTATGTATCTTACCATTAATTAAGAGTTTTCTACATATCTTACACTTAAATACATGTATTTTTGCTACCAAATACACAAAAATAGGGAGAAAGGCGAGCGAAATTCATATGTATCCCAGATACATGTGAATCACACTAGATACCCACTACATACATGTATATGTATGTATCGAGAGTGATTTGCTCAAATACATGGGAGAGTGGTGAGGGAGATGGGAGAGAGGCGAGCGAGATTTGTTATGTATCTCATATGCATGTGAATCCACTTGGATGCAATGTATTTAGCTAGAACAAATTACACATAAATTTGACCTCATGTATCTAGATGTAACTGGAGGCACCAAAATCTGGTAAAATACATAATATTACAAACTACAGTATAACTAAATGATTAACTCCTAAACTAGTGAAATTTATGTAAGTTTTCAATAATTTATATGTCTATAAGTACTAATTAGAAGAAGTCAACAATGTTAGTATATTAGTAAATATTATATTAATACGTCTTTGACCAAATTATTATGCAATATGTTTTCATTTGATTAAGTTACTCAAAAGTCATGGTCAAATCTTGACAATCAGAATTTTCTTTATGGCAATATTAATGAAAAGCATTAACCTCTTGCAACAAAAGTAGCTATATATACAATACAATCACATTCCTGAAAATTATCAAAAGAAGAAGCAGCATAAAAATGGATTGTGTAAGAAGTAGTTTAGTTGTTGTCACCCTCTTCTTGTTTTTGTCTTTCCAAATAAAAGCAGACCCAGATTTTGCTTCAATCATATCTTTACTTGAATTAGGAGAAGCCAATGCATCAGCCACTTGTGACTACCTTAATGGAGGGCACCCAAGAAATGCTTCTGCAGGGACTAGAACTGTTTGTTCAAAATGGTATAGTGTGGTAGTTGACAATTTGGACTTTTCTATAGACCATCTTAAGAAAAAGAATATCTCAGAAGCCGTAGATGATGTTGATACTGCTGATAGATTCACCTCCACTTGTCAACAACTACAAATTGAAGATGCTACAATTATATCAAGTTATAATTATATTAAAGATATTTGTCAAAACGTTATCAAACAACTTCACAAGCTCGTATAATTATTTCATCTTTATTAATTACTTTGGTTGTATCTTTTTCTGTATTGATGATACTCATCAAATCTATAATATTTTATTGAAGAATCAAAATTCATACTATTATTTTTAGAATAAGTTTATTTTGACCATATGTATCAGCTTTTGCACCATGACAATCCGATCACTAAAATTACGGGAACCTATCTTTTAGAATGAGACAGCGAGTCCAGACTAGCCTCCTGGACTGAACATACCCCTCATTCACTTTAGTAGGCGAGAAGGAGGAAACGAAGACGAGAATTCTCAAAAGGAGGGAACATGTTGAGACGACTGTGTGTAGATCAAAGATGGATGCCTTCCAAATAATATTCAAGTCGTTTTGGTTTACCTGGTCACAGTGAGTGACATGTGGCATCATCTTGTTGATTTTGGTCACCGTAGAATGTAGCATGAGTTTGGACTTCAAGGTGTAATGAACCTTGTGTAAGAATAATTTCTTACTTATGGTCCAAGTTTACTTGTGATCCAAGTAATACAATAAATAATATTTAATGAAGAATAGATCTCGTACGTACATCGGTTACTTGATAGACGTATCAAATTAAATTTTAATCTCTATAAATTGGTCCTCCCTCCACCTAATTAGGGTTACCACATAATCTCTACATTATTTTCATTACTTACGGCTGTGGTAACGTAAGGTTAGGGCAAGGAGGTAGAAACCAATTTACAACTAATGCTCCGCTTTTCTCTGAGATGATGTCTTCTGCATAAGGTATGTGGCCCTAACAATCACGATGTAAGATTATTGTGTTTAAGATCCTGATGTGTATTAAAATATTTAAACTTACATGTGGCATCCGAACCTGAATTGTTTAAACTGATAATCTTCAAATATGAAACATTCTTCATCGTGCATATAATTAATAAACATTGTCTGTTTGTTCAATAATGTTTATGGTGTTGAATATAACCTGCAAAACCAGATGACAGCTACTCGATTGAACTATATATGAAGTCATACACTTGTTAGACTTAACTGCACTAAGCAGTCCTTTGGTTCTATGACAAGTTATACAAGGATTATAGCATACCAGTGGTTATACAGTCAGTGGCGGACTCAAGATTTTCACGAAGTGGGTTCAAGATATAAAAAATAAATAAGCAAAAATGCAAACAAAACAAATTTTGATTAATTAAAATATATCATTACAATTCTATTCTACGAGTTTTCATTTCTTGAAACCTATTCATAATACTCTCATCAGAAATAGTATTAAATATTCTTTTCTCTACATAAGGCACCATACAACTACTCAGAAAATCATCATCCATTCGATTTCGCAATTCACTCTTGATCAACTTCATTGCCGAGAAAGCTCTTTCAACTGTAGCAGTAGCAACCGGCAGGAGCAACGCAAATTTTATAAGGCGAAACACAAGAGGATAGTTTAAATGCTTCTTTACCTTAACTAGCATTTCAGAAAGATCGCCAAGCCCTTTTAAGTTGGAGAACCTTTTATCAACATCACGGACATCAACTATATAAGTCTCTAGCTGATTCCTAAGAGTAACCATTACATTTTCACCAAAATCATCAGGATATAATTCAGCCATTCTCAATATGTTCTTGATGTCAAAACTAGAAAATGAGTCAACTGGATTCAAGCAAGCAACTCCAATAAGCAAATTTGTTCTAACCTCATTAAAACGATCATTGAGTTCTTGAAGCTGCCAATCAATAATCTTAAAAAATACTTCCACACGATAGTGATGTGAAATAGTATACTTAGCAACTTTACGTTGAGATCTTCCAAAATTAACATAGAACTCATCAAAATTAGGTATCAAAATATCATACTTGACACAAAATGCAGACACATTCTCGGCAAGTGAATCCCATCCTTCATTCCTTAAATCTTGCAATCGTTTCTTCACCACTTTAACAAGTAGAATGGCATTTGCAATATCTTGTTCTTTCTTTTGTAAAGACTCATTAAGCTCATTTGTGATCGCTAAAATATCTCTCATTAAATGCAATATGAAAGCAATCTCAAATGTTTGACAAACTTTAAAATATCCGGTTGCCTTAGCTTTTTCTTCAACAGATTCAGAATCAACAACAATAGTATCAAGAACATCAGTAATAGAGCCAAACATACTAATGAAGTTCTTAAAAGATTTGTAATGTGAACCCCACCGAGTATTGGCAGCTCTAGCAAGACCCAAGTTCTTGATTCAATCCTTACCACTTTCAACCTCACCCATATCAAGTGCCACTGGAACTTTTTTTTCTTGAGATTCTCGAAGTTCATCCATACGTTTAAAAGAACCTCCCACTACATTTAAGACATTAGAAACCAACAATACAAGTTCTCCAACTTGAAGGCATTTTTTAGATACCCCAACAAGAGTTAACTGAAGTTGGTGAGCAAAACAATGAATTGCATGAGCTGATTTACTTTCTTGTTGAATCAAAACTTTAAGGCCACTTAAAAGCCCTTGCATATTGCTAGCTCCATCATAGCATTGCCCTCGTATAAAAGATAAACTCAAAGAATGTTGCGCAAGATAGTTAACAATAGCTTCTTTCAAACATAAAGCACTAGTATCATGAACATGAATAATTCCTATGAACCGTTCCACCACAGACCCCTTTCTATCAACATAACGCAAAACAATTGCCATTTGCTCCTTACGTGATATATCACAAGATTCATCAACTAACAATGAAAAATAGTCACCGTTTAGATCCTCCATAATAGCTTTAATTGTTTCAAGCTTACATGCAGTGACTATATCTTTTTGAATTTTATGAGAAGTCATCTGGTCATTTTTTGGAGCCTTTTTCAACACAAGTTCACCAATTTTATCACACCGCTTCGCATACCATGAAAGAATTTCAAGAAAGTTACCTTTGTTTAGCGATGATTCATCTTCACGATGTCCACGAAATGTCAATCCTTGATTCAAGAGAAGTCTCGCCACTTCAATTGAAGCCTTTAAGTGAATTTTGTGCTCAAGCTTGGTTTGATTTGATAGCTTAACAAATGTGGCTTGAATTGATTGTTCTTGTCGCATTAGATCTTCACACTTCTTCTTTGCCTGATTGTGAACACTGTTTGACTTACCAATAGGCGTATCTAATCTTTTCTTTTTGTGCCAACTCCTGAACCCTATACTTGAAAATGTTTCACCTCCACCTTGATGAATGTTTTCATCTTGAAATAAATAACAACACAAACAATAAGCTGCATCTTCAGTCACAATATACTCCAACCAATCATGATATTTTTTAAACCATTTGCGATTAAAACAACGTTTTAATCCAGAAATATCACTTTGAGGAAACTCGCGAATTCAAGGTTGATGAGGACCTCTTTGGATATATGCTCGTCTAATCTCATCACGTTCATCCGGATAATAGTCTCGAATGGGTATTCTTTTCTTTGGATCAGCTGGTAAAGAATCCAAATCTACCCTTTGTTTCAATCTTTTAGCGGAATGATGAGTTTCTTCTAATTGGTTCAAGTTTTCTTCCACCCGAGGAGCATTTTGAGCAGATGAACTTGATTGTGGCAACTTGGAGGATATAGGAGAGAAAAAATCTCTTCATTTGATATTCAACCTGTATTACCAAATTAAAATTATAAATTAGAAAGTAACTAAACAAAGCGTTGTTAAATAAATGGAATTTCAATTAAATGATCTTGCAATTTGCATTGCTTAACTTTAATAAATTGCCATAGTATCTTATTAACTTGACATTACTATGTCGAAAGCATTCTCCTCAAAGTTAGATCAATAAAACAAAAGACTACAATTTAGATAATGCACTTTTATGAGGCTAACAACATACATATCTGACTATAATAAACAATATATGTTAATACATTTGAAAATAAATTACATTGACTTATGAATGAGACAGTAAATAACAAGATGAACGAAAAACTAGGCTTCAATATAAACTAAGAAGATAAAAGAATATTATGAATGATTTCTCTTCATTCAACATTTAACAAATAAAAACAAAATATTAAACAAAATAATTATAACCTTAATTTCAGAATCGAATACATAGAAACATACCTAATATTATTTGTAATTTTTTGTTGATTTTAGAATGATAAGGGATTTTTTAGATGAAGAAATGAAAAATAACCACAATAATCATATATGTATATATAAAGACTAGAATCAAGAGCGAAAAACATACTTGTGCGAGATTTGAGAGACGGGGAGAATTTTTTTTCCTTCAACAAAAAAATATGCTCAAAATTTTGGGGGGAAAAGTAAGAGAGGTTCAAGAAGATTTTCAACAAAGTAGAAGATAAAAAGGGGTTTTTTAGAAATTGAAAATAATAGGGATTAGTGCCTTTTTGGTTAAGTTTTTAAAAAAACAAAAAAAACAAAAAACAAAAAGGACAAAATTGTTGACTATTGGACTTGAAATGTAAAAGTAAAAAGTTGTTCTACTTTTTATAGTTCCTAAGTAACTAAAAGGACAAAAGTTACACCTACATAGAGGACAAAACT